ATACAGAATTAAAAAGACAGGTAAGTTCCAGGATACAGCCTAATGGCAGAGCACCTCTATTTTTTTTTAATTTTATTCTTCTTTCATATATTATGTCCTGACCAGTTTCCCCTCCTTTCCATCACATCAGTAGGAGGAAGAGGGTCCCACAAGCAGGCAAAAGAGCGACAGCCCTCATTCCCACTGTTAGGATTTCCATACAAACACCGAGCTGCTCAGCCATAACATATGTGCAGAAGACCTAGCTCAGGCCCCTACGGGCTCCCTGATCGCAGTGAGTCCCCACAGGTCCTGGTCAGTTGATCCTGAGGGTCTGTGTTCTCGTGGTTCCCTGACCTCTAAGAGCATGTGAGGTCCTGGGTTTGGACCCCAGCACTGCAAGACAAAAATGTAAGTAGAAACAGGAAAGTAAACTACTACAAAAAGACAATCCTAGCTGTCCTGGAACCCACTCTGTAGACCGGGCTGGCCTTGAACTCAGAGCTCTGTCTGCCTCCACCTCCTGAGTGCTGGGAGGCCTGCTTTTTTCTAAGGGGAGGTAGAGGGTGTATGAATCTAGAGGAGAGGGGAGAGAAGGTGGAAGGCTGAGGGGGAGAAAAGGAAAGGGAAATTGTGGTCAAGGTGTAACATGAGAGAAGAATAAAATTAAAAAAAATAGAGGGGCTCTGCTGTTAGGCTGTATCCTGGGCCCTACCTGTCTTTTTAATTTTGTTTTTTACAAAAAGGGAAAATAATTTGAATGGAGATATATATAAATGGTCAAAACATACATGGGAAAAATGTTTGACACCAATATTAGCCAGAGAAGCACAAATTAAAACCATAGCGCGGTACCAGTTTGTGTCCAGTTGGGTGGCTTAAAATGGTCAGATAATGAGAGTGTTGGCAAAGATGTGGGACACTAGAATTCTTGTCGGGTGCTGCTGAGTCAGGGTAAGGCTGTAGTGGCTGTGCTCTCAGCCTGGCTGTGCTCTCAGCCTGGCTGTTCCGTTTAAGGCTAAATGGAATCCCCACACCAAACAGCAACCCCAGTCCTGGGCACATCTCAAGAGAAAATATGTCTAAATATGTCCCCCAAGATGTGAACACATTTCTCATAACAACGTTGCTCACAGGAGCCATGATGTTCATCTGGTGATATGAAAGGACAGATGTGGTATATTCATACACCTGAAAATTGTCCAGCAGTAAAATGGGATTTTGGCAGGGTGATGGCGCATGCCTTTGATCCCAGCACTCAGGAGGTGGAAGCAGGCGGATCTCTGTGAGTTCAAGGCCTACAGAGTGAGTTCTAGGACAGCCAGGGCTACACAGAGAATCCTTGTCTCAAAAAGCAAAGAAGGAAGGAAGAAAGAAGAGAGAAAGAAAGAAAGAAAGAAAGAAAGAAAGAAAGAAAGAAAGAAAGAAAGAAAGAAAGAAAATGTCGATTTGTGAGACAGCATGGGTGAACCATGGAAACATGATACTAGGAAGGAAGCCAGTCAAGAAGGACCCCAGATCGTGAGTATTTAGAAGAAACAAATCCATAGAAATTAGTGCCTTCTGTAGCGTAGATTGGTGAGTGTGTTCAGCTGCAGAGTGATGGGCAAGAGACGCAGTGGTCCATTTTAAGGTGACAAAATCTTGAAAATTGATTGTGAGATCATTACACAACTCTAAAGTCATCAAAGGTACTTATGTTGTTGAAAAGGCTTTATGGTGTGTGAATCATTGTTTTTTGTTTTTTGGTTTTTTTTGCTTTCTTTTTATGTTTTTATTTTTAGAGTATTTATAATTCAACAAAGCTTAAAAAAAAAAAACTAATCACAGATCAAACGTACTTGTCAGCTGCTCTACACTGTCCTGCATCAGACATGCCTGTATATAGGACATAGGGGACAGGCATGTCAGGGGATGCCTGAGGTACAGAAATGGATGTATGTTTGCGTGTTCCCATGGCTGTGACAGTGTCAGCTAGCCTGGTGCTGGCCAGCATGGTGGCCTGTAGCCACACAGGATCACTGAGCCACTGAAATATGGGTGGCCCAACCGAGATGAACAGAACACACACCAGACTTTGAAGACTTAATTAAAACACTCTCATCCTAATTGATAATGTTTTGTATTAGATATACTTTTTTAATATTATAAAATATAGTTTTAATACTTTTACAAACTTAAAAAGCCACATTCTCTGAGAGCCAAGGTTTCCCCGGGAGGGGCTGCTGTATTGAGACATGGGTATGCTTCCTTACAAATTCATGTTCGTCAAGGGTTACCCATTGGATAACGGGAGAAGAGACTAGGGCAGAGGGCGGAGGGACGTGGGATGCTGAGACGGTGCTGCGCTGTGCCTGGTGCGCCACTTAACCCCTTCTTCAGCAGCTTTCTTTTGAAACACAATGCCTTCTCTCCTCTGGCAATTTTGTGCATTGTGCAATGTGCGTTGATCATACATTTCAGCATGTCTGCTCCAACCCCCCATCACTCTCCCAGGCACCCCAACACATCTCTTCAGGCTTCATGTCCAATCTGCACCGCCCCCCCCCCCCCAGTGCTGCCGGCAGGAATGCTGAGTTACGTGGTTGCTCGGCTTTGTGCAGATTTTGTGCAAGCAAACATAGCTGCAGTGAGTTCGTGAGTGCCGTGGTCACACCACTCCCCGAAGCCAGCATTCCACATCATCTTCTCATCCTCCAGCTCTTACGCGCTTCATGCTTCGCCATCCACACTGTTCTCTGAGCCTCAGGTGAGGGTTGCTGTAGATGTCCCTTTTAGGGTCCTTTTTAGGGCTGAACACCCAGTAGTCACCTCTTCTCAGCACTTCGACAAATTAGGAGTCTCTCCACGAAGTGATGACCACTGCAGAGAGGCTTCTCTGGCCAAGGTTGGAGGTTCTGCTATCTGTGCTTATAAACGCTAACAGTCGAAGGCAGTTTGACAGTGTGCCCACTGAACACGACACCAGTGGTGAGTTCCCCCCCAGGGCCTATAAGCTCCTTGTTCATGGTCGTCCACGTTAGCTCCCAGATAATGACATGGGGACCTATTCCTTTATTAATAAAACTTAAGGCACTATAGCTGGGCAGATGCTCATCTATTCTAACCCGTCTATGCTGGTCTGGACTAATTCCCAGCCACAGGCCCCGTTACCTGTCATGAAGTCTCACCCTGGCTGTTCCTGCTCCATCTGTGTCCTCATGGCGACCTTCTCATGATGACCTCCTCATTTTTCTTCTTCTCTACCTGTGACCTTCCTCCTGGGACTCAGAGGTCCTGCCTTAACTCTCCTGCCCAGCTATTGGCTATTCGGCTCTTCACCAACCAACCAGAGATGATGCAGAACAATTTTACACAACACTGAGACAGGAGAATCTTCAATAGCAATGGCAATGTCCACCCAGCTCTCTGTGCACAGAGATCAGCATCTGGACACACGGTGCACAAGGCCACCCCACCGCTGACCAGGTCGACCTACGAGGTGCTGGCAAAGACAGACCTGGCTCAGGGTGGTCGGTTACCTCCTAAGCCCTGTGCCACTATTGCAGTGGTGTGCACATTCTTAGGCATTTCTTTATGTCTGGGATCACAAAGCCTGTGCCTCTGAGAGCTGTGACAGGTGTTCTTGCTTGCTAGCCTGACTACACCTGGAATTAACTAAAACCCAAGCTGCTGTGGGATATTTTTAGTTAATTGAATCTTTTGAGGTAGGGAGACACACATCCAATCATTTGAAATCAGAAGACCCCCCTAAATCTGGGCCACGCCTTGTGGCAGCCTATCTTAGGAACAAGGACGAAGATTCTGCTTTCTGCCTGTTTGCCTTCTCTGTTTGTCCATTTCTCACGATTACTGGAGCCCACTTCTTCAAGATCCCGACGTACACTGAAGACCAGCTGAGGCATCCAGCCTCCGGGACTGAACAGCTGGTGGAGACCTGGACTTCCCAGTGTAGACAGCCATTGTCGAACCAGCAGAACCACAGCATGTAAGCCCCACCCCTGTGTAAATACAGGTTCACTGTCAGTTCTGCTCCTCCAGAGACCCCTGACTAACACAGGAGCCAGGGGCCGAATTCTCAAAGACATCCCCTGTCTCCACTTATAAGTTTAAAGGAAGAAGTGGTGGGGATGGGCGGGTGAGTACTTCATTTTTTTTTCTTTCAGTTTCAGAAATCTCTCTAACCACACATTTTCCCAAATAAACAAATTCTGAGTTGGGGAACAGAGGTAGGCAGATTACCCTGGAGCTGCGGTGCCTCTTCTTGGTTGTCAGCTTGACTCCTGGAATTAAATATTCTCCATTAATCAAATTCTATGAGTTAGGGAACAGAGACAGGTCAAAATGAAACCCCAGAGTTCTTAGTTTAGGGGAAGTGAACCTCGTTCTCCATGCAGTAGAAAAGCTGATCACAGTAGAGGTGTGTGGAGAGAGGACAACGGAGTCTGGTGGTCTCCACATTCACACTGTGACTGGACCCTGGCCTGGGGACACGCACAGAGGCACCTGTCATTCTTTAGTGTCCACTGTCCATACCTGTAGTTCTTTTCTAAGACTGTGACCGTCAGAATAGATTCCCTGAGTTTACTGCCCAAAAACCAAGCCAGAGGAAGTGTCTTGGCTCTTTTCTGAGAAAACAGAGCTTTGGTGGCATTGTCTCTTTACTCAGAGCTTTGTGATTTGATATTTTGAAGAAAGTTAATTAATATCGATGGGAAAGGTTTGTGCCAAATCGCATCTGAAAATTAGTGACCCAAAGCTTGTACTGTTTCTTCTACAGTTCTCATGAATTATCTTTTCTCTTAAAGAGAAAACTCTGCAAAACTCTGCTCTTGTCTCCCCTCCCCCTGCAGACTTCCACTTCTCACTAGACAGTGAGCTGATCAAAAGACCAGAGGAAAAGCAAAGCTGGCTGGACACACAGGAACTGCATAGCCAGCGTCTCACAGCCACTGTGGTAGCAGGTTGGATTCAGGCAATACTGACCTACAAACTAGAAAAACCATTAGGGGGGACAGCAGTGAGACAGACTACTGTCATAAAATACGGGACCAGAAATATATGACTCTATTTGAGTATAACTCTGAGAATTAGTTTCTTAGGCCATTCTACAAGAAAGAAAAAAAGAATGAAAAAAGGAAAGAGAGAGAGAGAGAAAGAAAGACAAGAAAAGAAAGAAAAAGGGAAAAAATGGGCTTTTAGCTTTCTATGTGATGTAATTTCAGTAATTAACAATAGGTGGCAGTAAAGAGCCCTCTCTTTCAATGCCGAAAGCAGTTACCAGTTAAATGTTCTAGGAAGTGCTTGAATTTCTCACTGCGGGACAGGCAGGTTGTCTTGGTAAGTAAAACAAATTACTTTACTCTATTTTTTAAAATAAGGACCCGGTGCTCGTTACCATGTGGAAATAGAAAACATCCTGTAATTAAGTCATGGATGTTTCTCTTAAGTAGGCTTGTTTCTGATGTTTACTTACTGTGACTGTGTGGCTTCAAACTAGTATTTGTCCAACAGTGGAAAGATTCCCCCATGTGGTTTGTTTTCAGGAGCTTGTGTGTGTGTGTGTGTGTGTGTGTGTGTGTGTGTGTGTGTGTGTGTGTGTGGTGATGAGTGCTTGGTCACAGATGTTTTTGGTTTTTAGACACAGCCGTTTTTCACTTAGATGACCTTGATGACCTTTCTCTGCTTCCCCCTCTCCCCTCTCCTCCCCTCCCTTCTCCTCTCTTGCATCCTTATTCATATTCCTCTCAGCGAAGGGTTCAGGAAAGCGGGACAGTGCTGTGGCCCACGTACAGCTGAGTGTGCCAACCAAGCGTCCGTCCACATGTTGGGATGTAATACCCTCTTCAAGGCCTGAAGAGAGAGGGAGCTCAGTCTAACTACGACACTCGGAGGTGGTCCTTTGCGAGGAAGCTGGGATTGGAGTCTGTCAGATCCGCAGAGTAGAAGCCCATGATTAAGTGCTGATGGCTTAATAAAAGAGTGACCAGAATACATGCGTGTGTCTTCATCTCTTGCCCAGAGATGCCCTGTGCTGAGCTGGGAGTCTGCCATCACGTCAGCACCAGATGTGGCCCCTTGGCTGAGGAGCAGAACTGTAAGTAAGATTAACTTCTCTTCTTTATCAAGCAGTCTGTCTCAGGCATTTCACTACACTAATTAGGAAGAAAGACTGCAGTGTAATTCAGTTTCTCCCATTCAGCCCCATCACGCCCATTTGCACATGGCTCCTTGTGTGAGTGGCTCTTTGGGATGCTGGAGCAGGATGACCAGAACAGTTCTAGGGCTTCCTAAGGGCAATCCACGCCAGGAAAGGGCTGGCCTCATGCTTCATGCGAACGCAGATGCGCTGTCATCTTTCTTGCTCAGGATATGTATGAATGCAGCTGGTGAAGAAGTCGGGATAGCAGGGCCCCGTGGACACCCCCGCAGAAAGGTGAGTCCCTTTCTGTGAGAGCGCTCTGGAGCCCGGCGAGGTCTACGCCTGCAGCCTGGGGACTGTTGTAGCACAGGCTTATTTCTGAAGACTGAAGTCTTCAGATCTATTTATGCCATCTATATGGCGAGGGACACGTGGGCAGGAATCTGGCTCTTTGTTGGCACTGACGGCTTGTTTTCCTGATGCCGTTCTAGGGAGCTTTACGATTGCTGAGACAACTGCATAGCTGTGCAGCCTTTATTCAAAAGGCCTGTAAGGTTCATCTCAACACAGCTCCCTCTGTTTTCATCTGCCACTGGACAGGTGACAACGGGCCAGTATCGAGATAGTATGGGTTAATAACTAAAGCAATGGCACGACCCGAAACAATGTCTAGCACTCCAGAGGAAAAAATATTCATTTGATGAATGAATAAAAAAATTTTCCTGAAGCTTTTCTATCCTCAGATCCCTCCAATATTGACTGGGTAAATGAATGAATGAATGAATGATTCTTCTGACTCAATATCCTCATGGCTCTTAGGATCCCCCATTGGCTCATGTAGTTGAACATTTGGTGGCGCTGTTTGGGGAGGTTATGGAGTCTTTAGGACTTTGGAGCCTTGTGTCTGTGTGTCACTGGGGTGGGTTTTGAGGATTGATAGCCAAGCCTCAGTTCCTTTCTCTCTCTGCCTCTGTATGTGGGTGAAGATGTGATCATCTGGCTTTCTGCTGGCGCAGCCATGCCTTCTCCTTCATGACGGGCTCTGTCCACCTGGAACCATAAACTAAAACAAGCCCATTCTTCCTCAAGTTGCTTTGGACAGAATATTTTATCACAGCAGAGAAAAGTAACTAATATGGGCTTTAGCCCTAATTCCTTGCTGTGACCTACAAGGCCATGAGTGATCTTGGCCCTAAGCCTCTTGTGTTTGCTTCATCCCAGACTAACAATGACTTCTCTGTTCCTCAGACCAGCTCACCTCAAGTCCGTCCCAGGACTTTGCATTTGCCTTTTATTTGTATTTTATTTGCTAGAAGGGCTCTTCTTTCGGCTCTTTGGCTCTTCTTAGTTTCTGCCCCAGGACATCTCAAAAAGGATTTCTCCAGTGAATCAATCAAAAATAATTACTCAGCATTGTCTCTGTGATCATTGTGACCCTGCTTCCTGTTTTTATTACACTGAACCACTCCATGAAATTAAAGTTAGCTGTTTATTAACAGGTCTTTGTCTTCTTCACTGGTCTAGGCCCTAAAACATGGCTAGTGGACAACCGAGTCACCTTGGCTGGACAAATAATGGATGCATGAATGACCTTTTACTGTGATCTTCAACAGCTTTTGAGTAAGACCAAAGTTAGATGGAGGTATCTGGGTGGGTAACGATGATGCCAAGGTGGTTCTGACTCAGCCACCAGGGAGGCTCTTAAGAAAGTTGTGGGATGCCTGAGCTTTTCATATTAAAGCATGAAAGGACATGAAATGAGTCTCAGCCTGGGTTCTAGATGAGTGTTGGAGGGTCAGAGCGAGGGGAGTGTCTCAGGGTTGCTGCTGCCATGACCAATGAAACTGAGGGAGGAAAGAATGTATTTGGTGTACAATTCCATACTATAGTCTATCATTGAAAGAAGCCAGGATAGGAACTCAAGCAGGGCAGGACCCTGGAGGCAGGAGCCGATGCCATGGAGGGTGCTGCTTACTTTTTGCTTCCCCTTGGCTTGCTCAGCCTGCTTTCCTACAGAGCCCAGGCCCACCAGCCCAGGGATGGCACAGCCTACAATGGACTGGGCCCTCTCCCGTCAATCACTCATTTTAAAATGCCTACTGCTGAATCTTCTGAATTTTCTCAATCAAGGTTTCCTCCTTTCAGATAACTCTAGCTTGTATCAAGTTAACATTAAATTATCCAGGATAAGGAGTTTGCACAGATCACCTGTGTTCTAACCCTACAGCTCTTGCACTAAATCATCATAAATTTAATGGCTTAAGGCAAAGGAAACTTATTCTGGAGGCTGAAAGTACAAAGTCAGGCAGCAGGACTGTGGTTTCTCCAGAGCCTTCTCTAGCTCCTGCTGTATAAAAAGTTGTTTGGGACTAGCAAGATGGCTGAGGAGGCAAAGGCAGGTGCTGCGAAACCTCACGCAGTGGAAGGAGAGAAGTGACTCCCACAAACAACTGCCTTGCACACATGCATTGTGGCACACACACACACACACACACACACACACACACACACACACACGTATCTCCATCTACTTCTTTACATATAGCCATATCTGTATATCACATTTATATATTTGTTTGATTAGAGTTTATACTATCGTTCACCTCTTCACCAGCTATCTAATTTATCAATCTTTCTGGTTTGGGGTTGTTTAAGTCTAAAGAATGTAGCCTTCAATTCATGACTCTCTAATAACAAAAATGTTTAATGCCTGACTTAATATAATCATTTAATGTGATTTTTTTTTCTAGGACCTGTACCCATGTGGAGATACTCTGAAGAACAGCAGCCTCAGGAATATCTGTACAATGACTAAAGCAAATGCTATCATTTTCTATTGTTTCACTGTCTTAGGACTGATACTTACCGAAATGCAGTTGTCTGATGAGAGTGAGCTTATCATGAGGAGGCCAAAAGCAAACCTCACCAGTGTGCCCAAGGACCTACCCTTAAAAACAGCCATTTTAGATCTGTCACAAAACAACATAACTGAGCTCCAGACTTCTGACATCTTCTCGTTGTCCAAACTGAGGGTCTTGATAATTTCCTACAACAAACTCCAGTCTCTTGACATCAGTGTTTTCAAATTCAACACAGACCTGGAATATCTGGATTTGTCCCACAATGAGTTAAGGGTGATCTCTTGCCAACCAACAGTCAACCTCAAGCACTTAGACCTCTCCTTCAATGCATTTGACACCCTGCCCATATGCAAAGAGTTTGGCAACATGTCCCAGCTAGAATTTCTGGGACTGAGTAGTTCCAAGATACAAAATTCAAGCGTGCAGCTGATTGCTCATCTGAACATCAGTAAGGTTTTGCTGGTTATAGGAGACACTTACAGGGAAACGGAAGACCTTGCGTGTCTCCAGCACATTAGTGCGGAGACTCTGCATATTGTTTTCCCTGAGAAAAGAGAATTCCGCTTTGTTTTGGATGTGCCGGTCAGCACGACGGTGAGTTTGGAGCTGTCTAACATCAGGTGTGTGGACGAGGACAGGGACTGCTATTACCTCTTGGCTGCTTTGTCGAAGCTTCGACGGAATCTGAAGCTATCAGACCTTGCCCTCAGCAGCGTTGAAACAACGTGGGGTTCCTTCATTAACATCCTGCAGCTGGCCTGGCAGCTCCCCATTGAGCGTCTCTCAGTTTCACACCTGAAGCTACAAGGTCAACTCAATTTCAGGAACTTCAGTTATTTGGACACTTCTCTGAAGGCTTTGTCAATACGTCATGTTGTCAGCGATGTGTTCAACTTCCCACAGAATTACATATACAGTATCTTTTCCAATATGAACATCCAAAACCTCACAATATCTGGGACACGCATGGTCCACATGCTTTGCCCAGCCCAGGTTAGCCCATTCCTGCATTTGGACTTTACAGATAACCTTTTAACAGACATAGTTTTTAAAGATTGTGGAAACTTAACTGAATTGAAAACACTTAGTTTGCAAAGGAATCAGTTAAAAAACCTTGATAATATAATTCTCATGTCTCAGAAGATGATATCGCTACAAAAACTAGACATTAGCCAAAACTCTCTAAGGTACAGTGATAGTAGCCAATGCTCCTGGACTAAGAGTTTGTTAGCTTTAAATTTGTCTTCAAATATGCTTACTGACTCTGTTTTCAGATGCTTACCTCCCAAGGTCGAGGTCCTTGACCTTCACAATAACAGAATTACAAGCATTCCTCACAAAATCACTAAACTGGAAGCTTTGCAGGAACTGAATGTAGCAGCCAATTCTTTAACTGACCTTCCTGGATGCGAGGCCTTCAGCAGCCTTTCTGTGCTGGCCATTGACCATAACTCAGTGTCCCATCCCTCAGCAGAGTTCTTCCAGAGCTGTCAGAACATTCGGTCCATAAGAGCAGGGAACAACCCATTCCAGTGTACATGTGAGCTGAGAGACTTTGTCAAAAACCTAGGCCAAATACCAAGCGAAGTGGTGGAGGGTTGGCCTGGCTCTTACACCTGTGACTACCCAGAAAGCACTAAGGGAACCCCACTGCAGGACTTCCGCATGTCTCCACTGTCCTGTGATACCGTTCTGCTGACCGTCACCATCGGGGCCAGCGTGCTGGTGTTGGCCGCCACCGTGGCCTTCCTCTGCCTCTACTTTGATCTGCCCTGGTACCTCAGGATGCTGTGTCAGTGGACACAGACCCGGCACAGGGCCAGGAACACTCCCTTAGAGGAACTCCAGAGGAATCTCCGGTTCCACGCTTTTGTCTCATACAGTGAGCATGATTCTGCCTGGGTGAAGGATGAATTGCTACCAAACCTAGAGAAAGATGACATACGGGTTTGCCTCCATGAGAGAAACTTTGTCCCTGGCAAGAGCATTGTGGAGAATATCATCCATTCCATCGAGAAGAGCTACAAGTCTGTTTTTGTGTTGTCTCCGCACTTCATCCAGAGCGAGTGGTGCCACTATGAGCTCTACTTTGCCCATCACAGTCTCTTCCACAAAGGGTCTGATAACTTAATCCTGATCTTGCTGGAACCCATTCCACAGTACTCCATTCCTACCAACTACCACAAGCTCAAGACTCTCATGGCGCGGAGGACTTACTTGGAATGGCCCATGGAGAAGAGCAAACGTGGACTGTTTTGGGCCAACCTAAGAGCAGCCATTAATGTCAAGCTGGTTAGCCCAGCAGAAGCGGCATGTCACACACAGTGGTAACAATGCTCACCTTTTCAGGGTTGCTGCTTGGGGGAGTTTTACTAACAGTGCCGTTGACATCAGCATGACCTAGAGACGATTTTGACTTTGTGATGCAGAATGTATGCTTTTAAGCCCTAGATTACCACTAGCATGTGGTAATAAAAATGAGTGGAATGCTGTAATTTGGGTTGAAATCATTCCTTTGTTTGTTTCTCTCTCTCTCTCTCTTTTTGAAGACAGGTTTTTTTCCCTGTACTCTTGGCTGTCCTGGAACTAGTTCTGTAGAGCAGGCTGGTCTTAAACTCACAGCTATCCACCTGCCTCTGCCTCCTGAGTGCTGTCAACTTTTGTTTTGTGTGTCCACATGTCTTGCCTGCATGTGTGTCTGTGCGCCACATGCCTGCCTGGTGCCCTCAGGGGCCAACAGAGGTTGTTAGAGTCACTTGGACTAGGGTTACAGACAGTTGTGCGCTGCCGTGTGGTGCCGGAAATCGAACCTGGCCCCTCTGCTCTTAGTTGCTGAGCCATTTCTCCAGCCCACAAACCATTAATTTCAAACACTTAAGGGATTCACGTGTTTGTTTCATTGAATTTGCTGTAGAATCGAGACACCCTTTCCTCTACCGACGTGTGGATCTCTGTGTGCTGGGTCAGCAGTAGAAAACTCCAATGCACTTCACTGCAGGTTGACTCTCCTATCATTTTTTCTGCATTTACCCTCTGAATCCCCTCACTCTTCGGCCCTGATGTTACTTTTCTATGTAAGTTGTCTGCATGTAAAACTCTCGTCTGGTTTTCCACTTAATGGAGGGATTGTAGATACTGTTAATTCATTGTTCTAAGAAACTTTCAATCAGAAAGTCTGTATGTCTCTATACAGACACATAGAGAGTAACAAAACAAGACCATATGGTGAAGTTTGTAGATTATTTGACTTAGCCATCTTAGAAATAATAAGTAATTAGTCTCAGCACTAGGTGGCAGAGTTAGGTGGATATCTGTGAGTTCAAGGCCATGCTGATCTACATACAAGTTCCAGAACAGTTAGGGCTCTATAGAGAGACCCTGTCTCAAAACAAACAAATAAATCAACACCCAGAAATGATAGGTTAGGTTTTCCATTGGGTCTTGAAGGAGGCGTCAATATATAATGGTGAAAAAAAAGAGAGAGAGAGAGAGAGGCCATTTTAATAAAGAGAGCAAAGGCTGGGATACCCAAACTTATCCTGGGGCTGTTATCCCCGTGTGGCTGATTTTGAGGCTTATGGCAAATGAGACCAGCATATGGTTGTCAACAGCTAAATAAAACCATAGTGCAGTCAGCCGTGCCGGGGCGTGCCTGCAATCCCAGCAAGTTGGAGGCTGAAGCAGGAGGTTCCTGAATTCCAGGCAGCCTGGTCTATACAGTCAGATCCTACCTCAAGGAGGAAGAGAAAGAGAAAGAAAAAGAAGAGCATATTGTGAACGGTCAGACCTGGGGATTTATAAAACACAGCTCAGTATCTATGGAACACAGCGGGAAGTGAGCATAAACTATGGAACATGAAAACTATTATTCTGTAATGGAGTTGCACCAGTCTTTCTAAGCAGCTACTTCCATTTCCTCTAAGTTTGCAACACTTCCCGAATTATACTTCTAGATTTCACAATCTAGTCCTGACTCCTTAGCAAGCAATTACACAGTAGCTTTGGGGACTTCTGTGCGGAGAACGCACAGTTTCAGTTGTTGTCTCCCAGTTCTGGGGCGACCACGTGTAAGCAGGGTTGGCCCCTTGTGAGAGCGGGAAGGAGAGGGCCTGCTCCCCGCCTCTTCTTAACTGGCTTTTGGCCATTTTCTCCTTATGCTTTTCACCTCGTCTTCCGGGTTTGCATGTCTTCCTCTATGTGATAATTTCCCATTTTCGTGCAGACATCTGTGGTCCGGACTGTGTAATACAAATGTCTCTATTTTCATTACACCTGCAACGCCCCTGTTTTAGAGAAGGGCCCATTCTGAAGTACTAAGGTTTGGGCTTGCAACCTATTGGCTGACACAGGTCAGCCCCTGGCACCTCCTAAGTCTAAAAAGTGGTCTCTGTAAGGTATGGGACGGGTGATTCATTGTCCAGGTTATTTGTTTCATGGCTTTGGAATGTCACATGTGTGGTGCTCTGAAGCAACAGAATTCAAATACAATCTCTGAAGCCAGTTTGGATTTCAATTCTAGCTTCTACATTAATTTTTGATAATCTGAGACAAGCTACTTTAACTTTCTAAGCTGATTTCATTATTTATATTATAGGTTTTTTTTTAAAGAGTATTATTAAAATAGCTAGCCAACATCTCTAGGTCTCCAGATGTGAACTTAGGATTGCTCAAGCATGCTCCCAGAGTGCAGCATTCATAGAGCAAACTTTCCATGGAGTTCTGTTCTGTTTCCTAGCACTGAGGGCTGAGATGCACGATTCTTTCTCTTCAGGGGGTAAGTAGAACCCATACAGGACAAAACCCACCTTCACAGTGCTCACTGAAACGAGCGGAGAGATTATTCTTCTCACACATTGATTTCACAGGTCAGCAACCTGAAGCTGGTACACTCTCAAGACCCAAGATGTTCCGTCTCTCCATTTCCATGCTGAGAGCAAACAGGCCCTTTCCTTATGTCCATAAAGGTCCTTGGTTACATTTCTTCACATGAAGAGGGATAAACACTAAGGGCAGAGGCTCAGGTTTGTCAAGTCTGTCCCTGTGCACGCAGGCCTGGCAGCTCCATTACCCAGGCTTCCCGATGCACCTCTTAGCTGTGGGATGTCAGGAGCTGAGCGGGTTTTAAACACAGTGCCGTGTTCTCTGTTTAATCAGGACTCTTCAAACAAAGACAAGCATGACGTTCTGCTTCACTGTGAACTTCAAAGTTCACTGGTCTGGGGCTGCATGCCTCCCCAAAGGAGGCAGAGACAGGTAGATCCGCGAAGCTCGCTGGTCAGCCAGGCTGGTCTGCTTGGTGACTCCCAGGCCAGTGAGGAGACTTGTCTCAAAAAAGTAAATTATTAATTAAATGTGGACAGCACCCAAAGAATGACACCTATTGTAATCCTAGGACCTTTAAAACGCACATAAAAACCAGTCACTTGTCAATCTGATGACTCCCAGAGCAGCTTCTATTCCATCAGTCTGTTCCTATAGCCATGTGCTCAGCTATCCTTCCAGCCTTAATGAACACGCCTGTCTTCGTGTCTCCTAAAGAAAAAGGCTTTTCTCTCTCCCTTCCCAGAGTTCCTGTCTCCCTACCAGGAAGTTCCACCTTCCACTTCCTGTTCTTTTGCCCAGCTAATTGGCCAATCAGCTCTTTATTCACCGCTGCTACATCCACACAAGACATTCCTCCACGTACAATAAACTACATACAGTGAGAAGAATCATGAAACAACCAGGAAAACCATATATAAATATTACATTCATAGAGTTTTGCTTATTTGTATTTAGCAATCTTGAAGAAAACAACACCTTTCCTATTTGGTGAGTCTAAAGCTTTGTATCCAAATTATGTTTATTGTAGCTGTATCGATCAATCTGAACAACATCTATCTAAACCTTAAAACATCTTTTTAATGCCTAAGCAACTAAGACAAATTGTAAAACTTTATCTAGTCTTTAACACCAACAGAGATTTGAGAAGGAATAAAATTAATTACCCAAGTAAACAGGAAGTGCATGCTAGCAGGCTTCAAAAAAAAAAAAAAAAAAAATGACAGAGACAGTTTGCTGCCTGAACAGCCACCCCAAACTCTCCAATGTTGGAGCATCATCGTCATCCTTCTGGCCCAGTTGAGCTGACATAATTGCGAAGCAGGAACTATTTAGGACTTGTTTACCCGTCTTGGCAGATCCCAGCAGCTTACTTGGCCTGCGTTCAAACTTGTCCATTTTAGGCAGAATTCTGTCTGTGGTAGAAATGAGTCACTTCTTTGCCCAGGTGGCTGGCTTGCCACATTTGAAGCCCTTTCCATATGGAGGTTCTTCAATGTTCATATCTTGGTTGAGGTAGGCCGGGGTGCTGCCAGGAGTTGACATGTCTTGGTGTCAACTCATCCTAAAATAATAAAACATTTTAAAATGTCATATTTTGCAGGTCTCTGAGGTTTGAAATCAAAACAAAGCTGTCTGTACCCTAACTTCCTCCTCTGGGGTTCTGGCCACTTGTCGTATTAGGTCAACCCACTACCTGTCTCCTGTGGGAAGAACACTTTTAAAGAGACAAGCTGGTTATCCTGAACAGTAGAAAGGCATTATGCTTTAAGTAAACTTTATACAAACTCCTTTTTAATTTTAGCATTTAAGCATTCTTTAGGCACCTTGTACCTATTTAAAGGTGTGGGCCTGGATTTATACATTTGTTATGGCTATTTACAGCCTGTTTCCTCTTCCACATGGTTATGGCTTTATAACCATATGGTGGTTATACCTTTATAGCCAAAATTTAAGTAAACTCCCTTTTAGAGTTTAAGCACACCCTAGTCATCTACCTAGGTTTTTACATTTGTTGTGGCTGTCCTTGCTCACCACTTTCTCCAGATGGGATGGACACTTCTGCCTTTTAAACATATGAATTGTGGCCTTTGAGTTTGGGGGACATAATTAGGCTGGCATAATTCCATTTTGTTGGATCGTCACACTGGAGAGGGGCAACAGAATGGCTGGTTTTCATGCGGTGGTAGTAAGAGGGGCCAGTGACTTGGCGATATGTTGAGACCTGTAAAATGTTCATGTTTCTTATCTGCAATTGCATGTCTGGGAATTTATCCCAGAGAAATAAGAAATAACAAATATTTCTTCACAAGTTTGTCAAATTTAAAGCTCGTTTTCCACTGAGGGGCAACTGTGTTGCACTTGCTCACTGAAGGACATCTGTGTAGCCATCTTTATGGTAAGTATTGTAGTTAATGGACTGGCAGGATGGCTCAGCCGGTTAAGGTGCTTGCTGCCAAACCTGACACCTTCATTTCAGCCCCGGGGGCTCACATATTAGAAGGTAATATCTGACTCCCACAAACTTCCCTCTGACCTCCAGAAGCAGGCCACGGCACGTGTGTGTATGCAGAAAGTAAATAAATAAAATGAAGTATTAGGGGTTGAGATGGTGAGTTTTGCATTATGTGTTTTTAATTATAATTTTTAAGTATAGTGGAG